AATCAATATGGGATGCTCAGGGAAAGAACTTCTTCTCGTTGTCCATCTCGGAGTCCTCCGGGGGGTGCATCCAAATCATGGAAGGTCGGAGCTGGTTAGACATGTCGATCATGTAGTTGCCTGGGGAGAAGGAAGGGATGTCATTCCAGAAGATCGGTTCCGCCGCGTAGCATTGGAACAGTGAAGTTGCTTCCAGGGTTTGTTCCATGCCCCCAATCTCCAGTAAAGCCACCGGTTGTTGCTCCGGATTACTGTTCGTCTGGCCACCGACAAAGGTTGCCGAAGCTGAGGTGATAGATGCTAGCGACCAAGTCAGGAAGGCGCTTGCCCTGGTAGCGGAGCGCCACAAACTCTTTCTGGTGCTCCTTTTCGGTTTGTAGGACGGGCACGACGGGGATCTCGTAGGGGTAGTATTCGTAGGTCCTTCACATTGTGGTGCAGGGGGTCGGAGCCGTTTTCGGTCGGAGTCAAGATGTCGTAGGTCATGAAGCTGAAAACCCCATTGGCGTAGGCGTCGGCGTTCTCCCTGAGTGCTACCCGCAAACCCTCTTGTAGTGAAACACGTCACGGACCATCTGTTCCCTCCGTCCCAGGGCTCGGCGCTGTGCATCTTGTCAGCAAGGAAGGCTACCACTTTGTCCCGGGACGAAGAAACGACACCCTTCACCTGGCGCCCCTTCGCGTCATTCATAAACATAGGTGTGCTGGTAGTAGAGGAAGAATCTTCGTGCCATAGACCGCCGCCCTTTGTAAAGGATCCCGTTGCCGTGAGGTAGTTGAAGGTCCCCTTTAGGTTGTTGTGGTCTGTGTGCACAACCGGCTTGCAGTTCAGAGCAAGTGAAATGGAACTCCACCTCGCGGAAGGGTCCTTGTCCAGGAAGTATTCTTCAGGTACAGGCAGAGGGAAGCGAACTTGGAAGTATTTGCACAGATCCCCCGCATATTGCCGTAGGTGTAGTAGCCTAGCACGATCTTGTGTTCCCCGGTGTCATCATCTCCCATTGCCCTGGGTCGTGCTCGGGCTCCTCGTCGAGGAAAACGCTCGCCATTGACACCGAAGATCTCTTCCAGGATGGAGTTCAAGGTGGAAGAGGAGTAGTCTTTCTCGGCCATAGCTTTGGCCAAGTGTTTCTCGATGTGTTCTGAGAGAAGGACCTCGGCATCATAGTCATCATTTTCCAAATCCGACCATTGTTCCGAGTCGCCCTCATTGCCTTCATCGGGGAGCTTCTCCTCATCCGCAAGGTCCTCCACGTAGTCCGCGATAGATCTCGTAGTCGTAGTGCCTTTGGTAGCGCTCACGGACGATCCACCTGGTCCTTCAACACCGCCAGTCGTTGTTCCAAAGCCTTGATCTCTTCCAGGACCTGGGGCGACGCTTCCACAGCCATCCGCTCCTTCGTATTGGGACGGTCCGCCGAAAGCTTCAGGGGTGAGGCCAAGCTCGCGCTCGCCGGGGGCCGACCTGTAGGAATCACCGGCTTCTGGTCGGCATCGTCCCTGCTCATCGCGGACACTTCCTCCCAGGACTGCGATCCCGTCGAAGATCCCGGGTACGGAACCTTCGCGTAGCGCTCCGGCTCCTCCATCATCTGGCGGCGAGTTGGTCCCGTCCTCGGTTTGGTCTCCTCGATCTTCTTCCGGTACCATAACACGAACCGCTTGAGGTCTGGACTCATATTGTTGCGGTTCTCTTTCTCCTCCTTGTCCGCCCATTCCGCGTACTGACGTGGGATCTGGTAGTAGGCGTTCCCCTTGAATTTCCCGATCTGCATCACCGTGTCGTCCGGGGTCTCGTGGTAGTCGCGGATGTGGCGGATAAGAGTTGTTCGGGTCGTCTTGCTTCCGTAGGACAGACCGATGCGGTCCGCCTCCGCCTTGAGTTGTGCCAACCTCATCCCGGAGAGGCCCTTCGGCATCCCGTTGTCCTCCTCGTCCATGTTCTTGTATTCCATGATCGCGCTGCGAATCTCCTCCATTGTCCACCTCGGCGTCGGGTTCAGGCCCAGTCTGGTCGCCTCGGCAAGAAGTTCCGTCTTGTTCATCTGCCATGTTGGACGGGTCGACATGCCCAGAGATGACAGGAGGAGGTCGAATTGGGGCAATCGGTCTACGATTGAACACTGTTCGGCCGATCCATAGGCATTGGTGACAAGCTTTGGATATTCCTGCAGAAACTTCCCAGAGATCAACTGCCAGAGGAAGACCTCGTTGTGACCGACAGCTCACACTGACCGTTTCCCTCACGCTACCGAGTACTCGTAGGAGATTGTCACGAAGAAGAGACTGTGGGGTCTTCCAGTCGGCGGGGCTGAAGAAACTCTTACGAGGAGTAACATGAACTCTGATCATAGAGGATTTTGTCTCTATCCAGAAGTCTGATGTAATACGCGACTTGTTCCACCACTTCACAACGGAATCTACAGACACGTTCTCACTGACAAGGATGTTCTTCACTTCGGGAGGGATCTTCTTGGCATAGAAAATCTGGGGAGGTTGTTCACGAGGTGCTTGGCTCTCGGAGCAGGCATTACTTGCCACGAAAACTTCATGACACTCCCCTTCCCCACTGCATTCTGCTGTGTATGCCGCCAAGCCGGGAAGGATCACGACTTCTCCACGGATGCACCTGTTGGCATCCCACATCTTGGGCTGTGCTTCTGAAGGGATCCCTTGTCCTCCAGGGTGAACACTGATCGCAGGATGACCCGTCGGCGTGGTCATCAAGGGGTGGCCCTTCACACTGACCTTCTCGAAGTCCGCCTTGTGCTCCTTGAGGTTGTAAATCATTCCAAGCTCGGCCAAAACAGAGCGGCTCAATAGGAGTGGTAGGTCGCCATGGATGATGGACACCTTTACCATGACCCAGCAACTCCCGACCCTGAAGGAAACCACAGCCGCATAGCTCGAGGAGTAGATCCGCGAAGCCCCGAATCTGAAGTTATCATTCTCCGGAAGCAGCGGAACTTCCACTCCGAAGGGTTTCAAGACATCGATGTACCGTTGAAGCCATGAAGTGCCAGCCACGGACTTTGTGCGCGCGCTATCCGCGATGGCCATGAGGTTCTCGCTGAGGACGCCGCTCGTCATGAAGACCTCGTTGGAAATGTTCGCGGTGTGGGTGACGTTGTTCTCCTTGGAGTCCTTGGAGGAGGGCGGTTTTCCGGGACATTCGGGGTCGCGATACCAGTGACCACGCTGTTTGCACACACTGCAAAAAGAACGCTGTTTGGCACTCTGGATCTTGTTGTCGATCGCCTTCCGGACCTCGTCGGGCTCCAGGTTCCTGTTCCGCACGGCCTCTTTGTACTGCGCCTTTGCGGTCATAAAAGCCTCAAAAAGCTCTGCCTCGTCCGCGTTCTCCGGTTCCACGCCGGAGGGGTCCTCACCATCGTCCTCGTCCTCCTCGGGTATAGCCTCGACCGCGTTCGCACTGTTCACCTTGGTAGGTCGGTTTCCTCGTTCCCACGGCTTCGGCCTATCCTTCAGGTCCCACGGACGCCGTAGGCTCTTCTCATGAAGTACCGCTGCGTGCTGTAGTCTGCTGCAGACGAACCCATTGTTCACGCTCCCGAGGATGGCCAACTCCTCCGAGTGGGAAAGAGAAAGAGCACTAAGATAAGCCCAAGCACGAGCCGTCTCAGGAAGTCGGCATTCGATTTCGACCTCGATTTCGACCAGCCTGGCATAGGAGCGGTCAAAGGCTGCATTGAGCTCTCTTACAGATTGATTTGGACCACGGCGCAGTTTCTTGAAGAAGCCGTTCAATGCCTCGGCGATCTTTCCAACCTCCATCTCTTGGTAGCGCTCGGCGATCCAGGCCTTGAACTTGTCCACGCCGTCCGCCGCGCAAAGGTCTTTGACCTCCAGTTCCTCCGCTTCTATCCAAGCGCGCCCCTTGAGATTTTGATATAGGAGGATGGCTTGTTGGGCAGCGGGTGTTCGAGTAACTCTGACCCATGCGTCTATTTGACGGATGTAACTCCGAGCTGACTGACCCAGCTCGTCTCCCCCATTATCAGCAGAGAAAGAAGGGACCGACATGCGCTCGCTGAGGCCTCCACGACGATCTCCATCAGGAAGTCCCTGGTCACGAGGTTCGGGAGGTCGAGTCTGCCACTGCTCACCCGGGATTGTGAAGTTCTTGGGGTCGTTCGGGTTGTTAGTCGGCGTAGAGTACGATCTAGTCCACTCGATCTCCCAGAGTGACCATCTGGAGCCGCTCCTTGAGCCGAAGTAGTAGACGAAGATTTTTTCCATTCTGTCTCCCAAACACCGTCATTGGAGTTGCTAGAGCGGTTCCATTCGTCTTCCCATACGCCGTAATCTCGGGAGGAAGCCATTGTTGCGCCAGACCAGGATTCTCTGCGGGTTTCCGAGTTCCAGCCAGCTTCCCACCCGGAGTTCCAGGAAGTTTCCCGTTCCACTCATGCTTCGTAGGGTCGTAGTAGTCCCATGGGCTCTCATCTCTCCACACATGCTTGCTGCCGTCGTAGGACTCAGCGGTCCTGCCCATGGTCCTCGTAGTCCCCCGAGGTACCGGCAGGGGTTTCTCCGGCATTCTCATCGGAATGCTTCGCCTTCCGCGAGCACCGCCGCCGTCTTCACCGTGAACTTCGGGAGGATCAACGCCGCCGCGAGGAACAGAAGCCCGAGCTGCGTCAGCCCAGGGGTCTAGCGGCTCAGCCGCCACGGTATCATCACCAAGACCGTCGCCCGGCGCAGATGCCATCCAGGAGCCCTAAGGGCTCCGCTACCAATGTCACACTGAGGCGGCAGAAACTCTGTTTTCCCGCACAAAAGCAGAAACTCGTGAGCCTTCCGAGCGAAGCAATGCTTTCATATGCACTGCTGACAGCAAGCGAAGCGGTGCTTACATATGCAATGCGAGCAGGGAACATCGCTCTCTCTTAGGAACGACTGGCTGCACAACCCTGCACAAGCACTTCAGATTTACACTAGTTATTAAGGCCATTAAATAACCCGAATCAGAGGGCGAGGGAGATACCCAAATCAGAAGCACGCCGGAGAAGTCCTACGCCATCGGAACGACCATGTGGCACATGGGTTCGTGGTTTAGGGTGGATGTTTGGCCCTGCGCTAGAATCGGGAACCCAAAACACTTATACGCCTAAACCTCACTCGGAAACGCACTAGGTTTTTTCGTTTTTCAACACAAACCGCTTCCTCCACGACCTAACTAAGCTCTAAATCCTGGCATATACCACCCCAAAGCAAACTTTGAGCCCGCGAGAAGCTCACTCTTTCTCTTGAGGATCGACTTGTGCAACAAGGCCATGGGCGGATGCACAACAGCTTTAAGCGTTGACTTGCTACCTCTTTGTTTTCAGGTGTTTGTTTAGAGTTCAGGCTATATCTTAGCAAAACCTGCCACTGTTGGGACGGTTTCGTCGGCATGTGTGCTAGACACCGAGCTGGGACCATCGGCCGTACACCGTAAACCCTACACAGGCCCTACACCCCAGTCGGCCCTACACTCACACTGCGTAAGCCTTGACTGTTGGACTTTCGGATGGGTTAACATAGAAGCCTACAAAATTACCCCAAAACCCTACTCTAATTATTAAGGCCCCTACATTGACTCTTTGGATTTAACTCGGGACGTATGGGTTGAAGCTCGGGGAATGTATGATTTGAAAGCCGGATCTTGTGTCCCGAAATTCAACGATGGGCTTTAGGTTTTGGATTTACGGGTTTAAGGTTTAGGGTTTTAGGGTTTAGGGTTTGGGATTTAGGGTTTACGTGTCTTCTGGTTCATGAGGCAAATCAAGACTTCTCTCCAGGGAATCCGCCCTCGCTACGACACCTGTCTGATAGAGGATGCAGAGAGTCAGAGACCAAGCTTGAGCATTTACCAGGACCCCCAATGGCCCTTTAATAGAGCCCTGATGGTCCCTAATAGTAGGCATTTGGGGTATAATAGAGGGTAGTTGGGGAGTCTAGGTAGGGTCAGTTTAAGTTTAGTGTTTGGGGGGTTGCTAACTGATGCTGGCTCGTTCTCTGTCGTCCCTGTCAAGTAGATTACTCTTGAAGTAGGTAGCGCACTTAGAGCCCTGCAGCAAACAGCCACGATACGTTGAAGTATATACTACTTCAACTTTTCTGGGATAGCAGGGGTTAGGCATTACCTATAGTCTCCATCGCAATGCTTCTTTGGTTTGACCCATTCTGATCCTGTAAGGTAACCCAAAACAGAGCTACAATGGAGACTATAGGTGTAGGCCCCTTAAAGGAACCCTTATATTGTAAGCCTGAGAGGAAGCCTTATCGATGTTATAGTAGCATATCGTAACCCTTAAAAAGCTTAGGCTCAATGCATCTGCAGTGCTTCCTGTTGAGGCTTCTGGAGGCCTCTTGTGGGTTCTGGGTTTAGGGTTTCTTAATGAGACTGATGAGTTTGGGGCTTAGGGTTTAGGGGTTGGGTTTAGGGTTTAGGGTTTAGGGTTTAGGGTTTAGGGTTTAGGGTTTAGGGTTTAGGGTTTAGTGTGCAGGCACTGTCAGAGCAGTACATCATTGCCAACGACAAAATCTTCAAGTCGGGAGAGGCGCGGGGATTTCGGATCCCTGCCCCTCACTGACTCAAACCCAAAACGATGCAGGCCCCTAATGTTTAGGGTTTAGGGTTCTCCCTCTGAATCCTACGGTGGACTATAAAATCTGCAACCCCAAGCCTAGGCAACCCTGAACCCCCGCAGCCCTTAAGCCCTGGCTTCCATCATCCGCAGACCGAAACTTGCTAAGCCGAAGTACCCTGGCCCCGAAACACCACAACCTCTGAATGAATCCTGGAACCCGCCTAGGACCCCTGCCACTAAACATTGTCAAGGCCCGAAAGCTACATTAAGACTCTAAGCCTAAAGCCACAAAGCCAACACCCCAACCCAAAGAGCCCAAAGCAGCCCCCAAACCCAAAGCCCAAAGCCCGAAGCCTGAGGACCTTAAACCCTCCAGGCTTGCACCCTGAACCCTAAACCCTAAAGCCTTTTCATCTTCTTTTGGGGATCCCCTTATCATTCAAGGGAATAAGCTCTGAACCCCACGCACAAGAGGTCCCTAAAGCTCCTCCACAGGTGCGGGGATAGTCCTAGCCCCACACCCCTGGTGAAATCCTGCCCAGAGGTCCCGGAGGCAATATCTGGGCCTTACTGACTAGAATAGGGTTCCGTGAGGAAGGGGACTGTTGGGTGTTTACTGACGGTTTACTATGTGGTGATGTTGCACGATGATTATTACTACGTAGTGCTGCTAAATGTTCAGGCTTCTAAAATTTTACGTCGGGAAGGTTTGGAGGGTGGTTTGAGTAGTTCAAGGTTGCCTTAAGTTTGCTTTCCGCGGGGGGTGGTTAGTCTTCATGGTTTATCGTTTCGGGTTTTCGGGCTTGGGTTGCTTATGGCGACCCCTTACTTGGCTAGAGTTTCCAAGGGGGTTCTCAGCATTCTTCGGGTTAGGTTTCAGGGTTGCAATTCGTCGGCTTCCTAGGGTCTTTAGGTTTAAGGATTGGAGTTTAATATAGGGGCCTAAATGATTACCTATACTATTTTGGGGGTTCCTGGTGATAATTGTAGTATAATGTATTCCAAAACCCTCTTCTAATTTAATTATTAAGGCCTCCACAGTAGAGGCTTGCATTTGGGCTGAGGGTCTGGGACTCCACCGACATCTTCTTTGAGTGAAGAAGATGCCTACCAGCCCCCTAGACGGCACACCAACAAGCAATACGCTCCCTAAGCCCTAAACCCCAAACCCTATACGCTCGCCGTCATGAAAAATCCCTTCGCCTTGGATCCCGCACTTAAAAAACCCAAAATCCTGACCCTTCAGCCTGTAAACCCCGAAGGCGTGAGCCCTACTTTCCTCGAGAATTGAGCCATGAAAGACACCATTAGCTGGATGCTTGCAGGTCGCCTTGAACATGTACATGATTGCCACCGGGAGTTGATTTTTGGCTGAACTGTGACGAAGACGTTGGTGTGTGCAAGTTGCGAGATTTTGTGGCTTAGGGAGGATTCAGTACGTACTGCACTTTTAGCAAGCCCTAACAGAGTCCGAAACCCCTAAACCTGAGGCAAGGCCATTTTCCACACAAGCTCCGAACCCTAAACCCAACGTATCACTCAAACCTTAAGCCATAGATCTCTAACCCAGCTCATCTCGCATTTGTTCCTCGGTGAGCTTGAATCAATCCCAGGCTTCGGTACGGCCGCGATTTAGGATTGTACCTAGACCTAAACCCTATACAACGGGTTCCTTTTAGGGATCTATAATGCTTCCTTTCAGCGTTTCGCGTTTAAGGGAGCTTCCTATTGTCCCCCTTGCCGTTCCTTCTACGGGTCACCTTTTAGGATACAAAATACAAAACTGGTTCAGCCTAAACCCCTAAAAAACCCAAACTTAACGGAGCCTCAACCCTAAACCCTAAAGTTGAACCCTCAAAGGAACTACAACCGGAGACTATTAGGCCTAGGGTCATTGGAGTTTCGGGTCCGGGCTTCGGGTTGTCATTGTCGGTAGGGTTTAGGGTTTAGGGTTTAGGGTTTCTTGAATCTTCTGTCTGGTGCTTAGTAGGGAATGGGGGAATGGGTTATAGGGACTACTATAAGGGACCTTCAGGGACTATCATAGGGATCCATTCCCCCATTCGTCTAAGGTGGTCGGAGGGGTTTCGGGGTCTAAGGGTTCGGGATCGTAGGGTCTAGCATGTTTGGGGTTTCCTTTGAAAGCCTTGTGGTGTGGCTGGAAGGCCCCAAAACCCTAAGCACCAAAACCCTAAACCCTAAGCCCTGGACGCGCTGCTACGAGGCCGCTATGACTTTGACCCTTCGACCGGGCCTCTTGAAGCAGTCTGGAAAGGTTATCGGGTTCCCGTATCATGGTTTAGTTTTTTTTTGGCTTCATTGTAGGGTTTTATCAGGGTCCATGTGCCTTTAAATCAAATACGTAGCCTTGTAGAGGTGTTTTAGGGTGGAGGAACAACGGCATGATTTTGTAGGCTTCCATCTTGGATGTGTGCTAATTAGTTGGGCCTCCAACAATGTCGTTCGGGGTTAGCACAGTAAGAAATGCGTCTATAGTGTGGTCCGGGTAAATTGGACTGTATGTACTTAATGCAAAGGTAATGGTACCCTAAACCCTAAAAACAAAACCCTAAACCCTAAACCTTAAACCCTAAACCCTTAACCCTAAACCTCTAAACTCTAAGCTGGA